TGAATACTCAGTATGAAAATTTAATAAAATGATGTAAAAAAATTAAAAGTTTATCAATAAAGCTTAAGATGATATGAAAGTTAAATGTTAAAAGTTTAAAATGATGCACAAGTTAATATTTATTACATTATATATAGATTAATAAGTGTATAAATTAATTAGCTAGTTTACTTTTTTTTTTTTGTTTGATTTTCATACCATATAATGAGCTTTGAACAATTATACATAAACCTTGACTCTGATAATAATATTGAAATGGATTTCAGTCATGATAGTAGTTCTCTTGAGCTTCATAATAATTTTGACAAATGCGAAGAGTTTAGCGATGGTCTAACCTCACCTGGCAAACAAGAAATGGTTGTTAGTAACAATTCTACAATATTGGTTGGTCAGATTTTTACAGATTGGCAAGACGTCAAACAACATATTGATACTTATGCAATACAGCAAGGCTTTGCAACAAGACTTCGATGTACAGAATATAGTTTAGGCTTTATTACTAGAGCAGAAATCATTTGTTGTCGTGCTGGTGTTGCAAAAAGTAAAAGTTCTAGACAGCGAAAAATGAAAAGTATTGCCATTGATTGTTCATTCAAAATAGTAGTTCGCTGGTCAAAAGATGCATATCATATAAGATCTGTTGAACTTAAACACAACCATCCATTGGATGCTGCTGCAGTTATATACGATCCTGGTTATCGCAAATTAAGCAATAATGAAAATATACATGTACAAATGCTCTATGATAGAGGTGTACTAGTGCCAACAATTGTTAATATGTTAACTGAACAATATAATAGATACATTTATAATAAGGATGTATATAAATCTTTAAATCATCGTGCTCGTGATTATTATAAAGGCTTGTCACAAACTGCAGAGCTATTAAATCATTTGAAAAATAATAATGAATATGTGGTCACCTATTCAGTTAACAATAGTAAACTTCATTGTTTATTTTTTACTACCCAATTTGCACTTTCAACCTTTAAACAGTATCCTGAGGTTTTATTAATAGATTCCACATATAAAACAAATCAGTTCGGAATGCTACTTCTACTTATCATTGGAATTGATGTGATGGGTGTAACATTTCTTATGCAAGTGGGCTCATTGCTAATGAAACTACTCCAAGCTTCTGTTTGGTATTGTATCAATTAAAACAAGTCATTGGAGATGTGATTGTTCATAGTATACAAACTCTTATAACCGACAGAGACCTTGCTCTTATTTCTGCAGTTCGATCTAAATTATCACATGTTAAACATCAGCTTTGCATTTGGCATGTTGAACAAAATATTGTTAAAAATTTACATAATAAGCTTAAGGATAAGTTTATTGCATTCAACAAAGATTTTAAAGCAGCAATGTTTGAAACTAAAGAGAAACAATTCGAGAATCAATGGAATTGTTTATTAACTAAATACCCAGAAACTAGTAAATATATAACAGAACAATAGAAACCCTATACTAATATGTGGGCTTATTATTATACTAACAAGAATATCAACTATGGAATAAGGTCAACACAATGATTTGAGGCCACTAATGCACATTTAAAACGTCTGCTCAGCATTACCTGAGCTAATTAATGCACTAGAAAAATTGTCTCATTATTAACTTCAGCGTTCTCAATATTTACAGTATTGTTTACATAGAAGTATTCGTCAACAGTGCCCCAAATTATTAATGGATGTTTCAACAATTGTATCAGACTTTGTGTATACCTTATTGTTAGAACAATATAATATGGCTGGTAGTTATGATATTAAAAAGCAAGACACCAATTTGCTTCAGGTCTATTGTGATGAAAACAATAAGCACACAATTTATCAAACTGACATTAGATATTCCTGTTCCTGTGATTATAATAAACAATTTTCTTTACTATGGCGTCATGTTCTTGCTGTTCATATTGCTGATAAAAAATCTATCGATGTCAATTACATTGGTGCTCGATGGATTATTTCAACAGCAGGATTTACTATACCTCAACCAGAAAAAGAAAATAATTTTACTGGCAACTTAATAGATAACAATGAACCTGAAACTGAGCTTTTATTTTTTTCTAATTATAATATTTGTAAGATCTCCACTAATCAACAACTGCATAGAAGTACTGTGGATTTACTTAAAGATATTGAGACCATTTCTAATCGAGTAGATCATATTGAAATTAACAGCACCCTTGCACGTTTTGTAGAACAGCTAAATAACAAATATCCTTTATCACAAGAAGATATTGGAGATCCTATTATTGTGAAAACAAAGGGAAGACCAACCAGTACTAAGCGTAAAAAGATCGGTGCAGAACATGTTACTAAAAAAATGTATATATGCGGTATCTGTAATGATGCTGAACACAATTCCAGAAGTTGTCCTAGAAAGGTAAAAATATTTACTATATCAGTATTCTATTGTACAATATAATAACTTATTTTGATTTTTATTATAGTGACAAGTTTTATCGCATATAACATATCGAAAAATTGTTATAAACATTAATGTTTCAACTTTTATATGATATGTTTATAATTGAAGTTGAATTATTGCATCTTATCATGTAATTAAATCGTTGGTTATTTGTGCTATGTCATAGTTATAGCATTTTTTCTTAGTATTTGGTTAATTATAGGCTCATTTTTCATATAACCAATATACAAAATTAGTGAATACATAATTTGTATCTTGATTGCATTAATTATGTTGCATATAA